ATGTGATCCGCCTTCAGTACAAGTTTGAACGCGCTCGAGTCATTTAGTAGCGATTTTTTATGAAACATTTTTCTCTATTGTGTTCTAAAAATGAACGAGCAACGGTATGCTATCAGGTCTTGCTTCAGACTCGGGCACAGTGCAACGGAAACTCTTGCTAAGCTTAAGCGGGCCTACCGAGATAGTGATTTGTCAAGAGGGGTTTTCGGTTGTTTAAGGCGTTTTCAGAAGAGGAAGTCCTCCACCTTCAAGAACCTATGAAAATATCGACATAATCCGGAATCTTGTGCGTTCAGATCGTCAGTTGATAGTCCAAATGGTCGGGGAATAGTTACACTCACACCACCGTTCATCAGATCAAGAGCTTGCATCATGATAATGCACCTCATCCCACAGCAATATCAATAAACCAGGTTTTGTCCAGTAAAAACATTGCTGCGGCTCCTCAGACTCAGACTTGAGTTCTTGTAACTTTTTTCTCTTCCCGAAGTTGAAGGAACTAATTTTGAAGCTGCCGAAAACATTCAAAGGTTGTAACCGACCACCTGAAGGCTCTCCCAGTACACTGGACAACAAATTTTAATTTTTTAATTGTATCTTGTGGGAAAAGTGCACTTCTTTGTTAATTTTGGGGCGCTGAACAATGACATTGAAATAAAAAAATTAGTTGCGGTTTAGAAAAAAAAAATTTTATTTTTAAGGATATATTAAAAAAGTAACAAGATTCATATACTTATAAGAATCACTATAAGCGCTGTATTTTTGCTGTTCTTTTATGGATCGTTTCTGGAGCATCTCTACCAAGAGTTCAACAGTAGTCTGCAAGCATGGAAGGATTCCACTTTCCCTGGTACCTTTTTTCCATTGTTGAAATATCCTGATGAAAACGTTCGCCGTGCTCATCACTTACGGCTCCGCAATTGTCAGGAAAAAAGTCCAGGTGTGAGTGTAGGAAATGTATCTTAAGAGACATATTACAGCCCATCTTTTGATACGATGACAGCATATTTTTGACAAGGGTTTTATAGTTGTCAGCTTTTCTATTTCCCAAGAAATTAGTGACCACCAGACGGAAATCATTCCAAGCGGTTTTTTCAATACCTGTTAAAGTGTTTTCAAACTGTGTATCTTTCAAAATATTTCGAATCTGTGGCCCAACAAAAATACCTTCTTTAACCTTTGCCTCACTTAGTCTTGGAAATTTCTGACGCAGGTATTGAAAAGCTGACCCATCTCTATCTAATGCCTTGACAAAGTTTTTCATTAGGCCCAACTTGATATGCAGTGGTGGTAATAAAATTTTTTTCGAATCTACTAATGGCATATGCTGTACATTTTTTTGACCTGGCTCTAGGAATTGACGAACAGACCAGTTTTGTCTGGTGTAATGAAGTGCCTTTGCCTGACTGTCGCATTCACACAAAAAACAGCAAAACTTTGTTTAACCTAGCTGCAGCCCAAGTAAAAGTGCAACAACTTTCAAATCGCCACAAATATGCCATTGGTGCTCATCGTATTTTATGCATGTCAATAGGTACTTCATATTGTCATATGATTCTTTCATGTGAACTGCATACCCTACAGGAAGAGATGGTAAAATATTTCCAATATGCAATAACACTGCCTTTAAACTCAATGTTGAACTGTGTATAAACAATCTCCATTCTTCTGGGTTATAGTTTATATTTAAAGCCGCCAGTAAGCCGTTAACGTTACTGCAGAAAACCAAGTTATTCTCCATATTAAAAAATGGTTTTAAGTCTTTGTGGCGTTTACGAAAAACACATACCGAAACATCGTCTTCTAACAAGTTCCACTGCTGCAGTCTTGATCCAAGTAACTCTGCCTTACATTTTGGAAGTTCTAAATCTCTTACAAGATCATTTAATTCTGACTGTGTTATTTTGTGCGGTTGGTGGCATGACGTGCTCGGTATAAAATCAGGATCTCTTGACGTTGATGGCATATCTTCTTCCTGACGAATCACTCGATCGCCATGATCTGATTCGTTTTCTGATTCGCAAGTGTAGGATTCTGGGGGTTTTGGAATAGAATTTTCGTCACTGTGAGGCACAGGTCTCATCGCAGACGGTATGTTTGGGTAGTTAGTAACCGATTTTTTTTTCTTGGACATACCTGTGGCTTGCTCAACACAAGGTACCATGCAAAAGTAACAATCATTAATATGATTTGTAGGCTCTCTCCAAACCATTGGGACAGCAAAGCGCATAGACCGTTTTTTGCCATTTAACCAGCTCCTCAGACTTGAAGCACATGTATTACAGCAGATGTGGGGTGCCCACTGTTTGTCTTGATCACCTAGTTTACAACCGAAATAAAGCTGATATGCCTTTGTTATTAGTGGAGTAATAGACCGTCTCTGAGACGCAAAAGTCACATCACCACACACGTAACAAAACTGATCTGGATTGTTTACACACTTTCGAGACATCTTGCATGAACGCTGTCAGCCAACTGAGGAAAAAATGGCTAATATAAAACAATATAATGTACACGTATGTATAACGTAACACAATCATGCTGATTACATCATCTTTCCTTGCCGAATATAAAAATGTAGCACGTGCATTCTTGTGAATTACAGTATGTTAACACTGTCACAGCAGGAACACATATAATCACCGTATCTCTAAAACTTGAACTAATATTGAAAAAATAAGTTTCATTCCGGTTTTAGCATATTAAAAATAGTAATATTTTGTTGATTTTATTTAGGATATTTTTTGGCTGTTGATCAGCTTAGAGTTCCAGCAGTACTGCTATTAGGAGTGGAAGAACCATCTCCAGATCTGTGTCGCTTCAGAATGACCTTATTTTGAGAGTGTCGATATAAAATTGTAATTATAATATTCAATAAAAAAAAAATATAAAAAGTCAGTCTCATCACTCAATTCACATACCTCTTATGCATGTTTAGAGCTGGAATATTTTTAACATCTGGACCTTACATTTCATAGAGCCAAAGTAAGACCAGGCTAGAAATACAATACGCATTTTGCCCACGAGTATACAGTTCATAGGAAAGCAATTCAACTTTCCGATAAAATATCGGAAAAGGGTTGGAGACTGGTCCTTTGTTACGGACATATCAACAGAATTAGTTCTTTTGAGATTTCCTTCATATTTCCGCTGCATTCCAGCTTGTCAGACTTTGATCTCGCCTGCCAGTTCAGTCATTCCTTATACACGAGAAACTACCTAGTTTCCTAGGGTATTAAGAAACCTGTACACCTTTTCTGAAATAACAAAGTTTTATAGATTAGCTTTAGCAGTATATTCACGAATTTGGGTCTGTCATTATTTATATTTTACTCATTTAAGTAGTTCAGATTTAAACGAGATTATGCCTTTTATGAACAACAGTTTGACAGTTAGACCGTGCTATTCAGTTGAATGACTGTTGAAGTGAGTAATCGGTTGCTTGATTTTATTGTGTTGAAATAAGTCATGCTATTGTCACACATATGGTTCACTGTTATCTGAACAATGGAAGACAACATTTGGGGCCTGCGTACTTGGCAAATTGGGTCGATTTACTGATAACAGGTGAGAAGCCTTAAGTAAAAATAAGAGCAACTTATCTTAGATGAAATGGGGTACTGTCATCTATGAGTATGTGTCACAGCTATATGCCCATACATGCTCGTGTACATGATTTTTTGGATGTCAGAATATAGTTTATCTTCAGGTAAAACATGATTAAAAAGTAATATTCATAGATACATCCCTCTGGCCATAACGTCATACCATATGCTTTAAACATGGTTTCCCGCTAAAAATTCACGTCTTCCTAACTTGTTTGTATGAAGGTTTAGAAAAAGAATTATATGAAAGTTTTAGCGTCTGATATAAAGTTTGGTTATGCTAGGTTTTTTGTAAATATCTTAGGAAAGATCTATCGAATAAACTTATTTTTAAACAAGACACTTTCTTCTACTCGTATAGCACCGACATCATGTATACAAAAACGCCATTGCATGAAAAATATGTATTAGACTTTATGAGTGGCGAGTACCAACTAAGATAATTTAAAACTGAATTAGTATTTTGCAGAAAATATATAGAATTGGAGAATAATGGGATGGTATTTTCAACAATAACGCTCCACTGTTCTACTAGAGTTGTATATGCAACAACTATAGTGTATTTACATCCAAGATAGAATGGATGCCTGATTGCTAAAAGCAAGGAAAGCGTACAGGGCCGCATTCAGGGCTACCTCCGAATGATGGACTACCACCAACGTGTTGTAAAACAAAGATGACAGTATTTAACACAAACAGAAACTTTACAAATTCTTCAAATACACTTAACAACAACAACAGCAACAACCAAGCAAGGTGAATACAAAAACACGGGCACGCAGTGATACATGCGACGGACGGTGGCCTGAGTGCAACTCTGCCTGCCCTGTCCCTGCCCCGCGCATTATTCCGCCAGGCGACCCCTTGAAATTTAATGGCGAATTGACCAATAAGAGGCGTTGTCCCCACCTGTTACCGAGAGATCACGTGCTAACTGTTATTATTTATATCTCATCTTGAATTTGGATTCAGTTTAGAGTCGCCTGTCTCATATGTTTTCAGTAACATACTTATTTATCTTTGACCACTTTTGGTTGTTGCACGTCACCCTATAACTTTGATGTCAGCTTTTTTTTAAAGGTTCATACAAAAAAGTTCAAGGTCAGCACCTATTATAAAGAATCTGACAGAGGTTATGGTTGGGGAAAACTATATGCCAGTGATGAATATTACCTTTTTGGGAAAAAATGGTCTACATTTTCGAAATTTATGTGTGGATATTACGAGGGATGTCTTTTAAGTTTTGCATATAGAAACATAGTAGGCCGCGCGGATCGAACGTCAGTACTGAATCTTAACCTCACTCTTTAGTAAACTTAAATTCAATGTTTCACAACAATACGTACAGTGTTCTCACTACAGTGAATTTTTAAGTGTCACTAAGTCGTTAGAAAAATGGAACTCAACCGAGAACATTTTCGCGCCATAATTTATTAGTAAGAAAAACGCCTGACCGTTTCAATTCCAGAAACTCAAAAAATGTGTACAGCATTGTTAGTGGTGATGAATCGTGGATTTACTGTTATGAACCAGAAAATAAACGACAGTCGGCTGTTTAGGTGTTCCAAGGTGAAGAAACATATTGCAACAATTCCTCTTAATGAGCAAAGAACTGTTACTGCGGATTGGTATACCACCATTTGTTTGCCAAAAGTAATCACCGAGCTTCGAAAAATCAACCCCGAAAGAAGAATCATCCTCCAACAAGACAATGCAAGCTCGCACACAGCCCAAAAAACAAGGCAGTATTTAACGGAAGAAAACGTGGAATTATTGGACCATCCTCCATATAGTCCTGATCTAAGTCCTAACGATTTCTTTACTTTCCCGAAAATTAAAAACAGACTGCGTGGTCGAAGGTTCCAGTCACCAGAAGAAGCAGTTGACGCATTCAAAAATTTTTGGATCTGCCAGCAAACGAGTGGAATAAGTGCTTCGAAAATTGGTTCGAGCGCATGCAGATGTATATAAATCTTCGTGGAGAACACCAAGAAAAACAATAAAGTCATTTAAAACCACCTACCGTGCTGTTTTATTTCCATATGCAAAACTTAAAAGACATCCCTCGTAATTCCTTCCAGTAGCTACCTGTTCATTAAAACTGAATGTTCACATTGAAATTTTGTTCCGTACTACCATAAAGGAGGTATAAACCTACGAAAACGACTTTTCTATACTACTATGATAAAGTTACTTGACGAGCTAAACTACGCAACAAAATATTAATTACTAATGCCTTCATGAAGAAACTGTTCCAGCGCTTTCAGAAACTCACAGTATATTAAAGTTCTCATTACCATGTGTAACTTCTGATAAATACGGAACTTTGATATTTTGCAGCCTATGTGAATTCTCGAGTAACTTCATAATAAATAATGTACGTATAACTTGCAATGTTCGTCAAAATCTGTACGAGTTGAAACTACTTAAATGAATGATAGGTACTCGTACACAAGTGCGTCTGCTGAGTAGTTGAGTTATCTGTTTGTAGAACTGGAGCTGTTATAGTTGCGGATTTTTGAGGATACTATCTCTTTCTAATATAGGTCTTCCACGCTTTTCGCGATTCTCTCTCGTACTGAATACGACATTAGTGGTATATGGATTTCTCAATAAGCTCTATCTAGGTGGAACAGTAAAGCAATATGTAGTCCTATTAGCATAATTAAGTCATCTGTAAATACATTTCACAAATATTCGGATTATAACCGAGACACAAAAGCAATTAGAACTGCTGAACAAATATCAAGACAATCAGTTTCCCCAAGTCATTCTGTTTTCAAAAGATTGACATCATCCATCAAAACTAATGGTGTAGGGGCTGTTGGAATTTCACTTATTATGGTAAATCAGATTTTCACATTCATTTTAGACCATATGACATTTATTATCAATCACGTCATAGCAACATCCTGTTTCCCAGATGCGAGGAAGCAGGCTGTCATCATACCTATTCCTAAAGTAGCGATTTCCACGTCTGTAACGCAACTTAGATCAGTCAGCTTACTTCCCGCATTTTCTAAGCTTTTGGAACGGGAAATGAAGATACAACTATTTGAGTATATTTTCAGTAATAAAATAGTTCCAACAATGCAGTCAGGATTCAGCGAAGACCATAGTACCACAATGGTTCTAGCCAATATCACTGATGATGTTATAAGAAGCACTGATCAAGGAAGTGTCACTTGTTCAGTTCTGCTAGATTAAAAAAAGCTTTCGGTATGATAGACTCTACAATTTTGCTACTTAAGCTGTCTTCGTATGGTTTTACTGACGCTGCAGTCAATTTGATTTGCTGTTATTTATCAAATAGAATTCAAAAGGTCCTATCAGCTTCAAAAATGTCACAGTTAACTGCTGTAAAGTTTGGTGTTTCTCGAAGTTCCATAATGGGACCTTTACTTTTCTCTCTTTCCATCAATATGTGCATAGTTGTACAATCCATCACTATATCGATGATATTCAAATTTATATTAGTTTTCAACACGAAGATTTTAAAATGGCAGAGGCATTGCTCAACGAAGATTTAACAAGGCTAGTAGATACTTCGAACCTGCATAACCTAAAAACTAATCCATCTCTTTGGCTCAAAAAACAAAAGAGCAACGATCGAAACGAAAACTAACCTCAAAATCTATGATAACCGCGCGTAACTTTAAAAGTGACATTATACCGATTATTTTTGACATTATGCTGGTTTTTTTTGACATTATGTAGGTTTTTCTACAAGATGTTAACTTAGCACTTGTACGTGTTGTACGGACAGGCAAATGATACTGTGTGAAACATTAATTATGTCAAAAATCAGTTATTGTGACACTATATATATGGCGTATATAGCGTATTTAGAATTCGTGCGTCAGATTTGCTTGCGGAATACGAAAGTTTGATAATATTTCTCAATTTAAGGAACTTGGTAAACGCATGCAAAAACTTATTGATACTCACACATGTTAGCTACCAAACAACCACTATATTTTCATAAGTTAGCACGACGTAGCGACATTAATCAACTGAATACATGGAATAGAAATATGTTAGTGATACCCTTACATTCTAAGGTTGTCTACAAAAAATCATTTAGTTACAACGCTATTAAATTATGTAATGATCTGCTTGTTAAATTCCAAAATTACACACTATTTAATTTCAAAAAGAGTCTTAAACTAAAACCTCACGCCGAGGTCTGATGATGAACACAAAATGCTGGAAATATGGGCTATTTTTGTAATTGATTTTATTTTTTGTGTTGTTAATTAATTAGTTATTATTGGGAATTATACATACATATACTACTATATGTATTTTATTATATAATTTTTTTAAGTTGATTTAGTCGATTCAATACTTGGAGGAGTGTTGCTCACAGGCATTCATTTTTTCCCCAAATTTTGCAGTGAAAAATTGGTGGAACACTAAAAGACTCGCAACAACGGCAAGTCTTTGGTGCACAACAAACATTCCGTCGTCTTGTTATCTCTCGCACATTAGCTTTTGACAGCAACCGAGCAGATAAACAAAGCTTTGTTTCCAGCGTTTGCTGGGTCGCCTGCGTTTATTATTGTCATTGTGGCTGCCGTGCCGCAAAATTATGCATGAATTAATAACACCAACAGCATCCGACAAATCCTGTACACAGTACACACGTATGCGGCAAACATTGTTGTCAGTTCCAGCTTTTTGTTGATGTAATCATCAGAGCATATGAGTTACTTTGCATTTCTGTACATACCTGTATTTGGCAGCAATGCCTTCATATTCTCTTATCCTTTTCACAGTCTCATTTTGAGATCAAATGTTGCAATGGCATTTTTGCAACTAGAAGGTGCAGGTGCATTGAACGCGCTTTGTGATACGAGTATGCATCAGGATCGGCCCCTCTGGTCTGCGCTCATGATGTTTGACTCGGAGTAGAGGTGGGTTAGGGTACGCTGAGTAACAGTAGAGTATAAGTACAATTAGAGTTGTTTATTAGATTATGATGAACGGACAAACCCATAGTAATGGTAAATTCATGATGAGTAGCAGCATTAACGATAACTAGCGTATTTCATATTGTTTATTGGAACCTTTGGTTGATGGATCGCTGAAATATAAAGCAAGTGTCAGGATGTACCATTTCTTCGTTTGAAATGTGTTCATGAGGAGCTATCTCCCAATGATAAAGTCATCAAACAATTTCACTTGAGAAGTAATTTTAGGAATCTGACGCTGACAGTGATGTTGTTTCTGAACTCTGAACTAATGTTATTTTAAATCATGAAACGTCTAGCGCCACGTAGGTAAACTGATCTGCGCATTTGGAGATTTTTTACTGATGTGTTCGAGGCGGGTCATAAATCTCATCTCACGGTATGTATCCTCAGCCGTCATGCATGCAGTAACAATTTAACTTCAGTCTAGAGTAAAGTCGTAGTTGAAAAAGTGAATTTGGGTTGATGCATCCCCAAATTATTGGACTCCAGTATACTATATACGGCTTATGGTATCTCGTACCGTAACATCTACAAAGATTATGCAACAAGAATGTGTTGTGTATCTACTATTTCCAGTGTATTTCACTATCATTATCTATTTAAACTTGTTATGGCCAGTCATTAACAATCTGATGTTGTTTCTATCAAAAGATACAAAACGTAATTCCTGTGACAGCAGGGCAAACAAGAAGCTGCCACGCCTGACGGAGAGGTGATCATGGTGCATGGATTTGATGGCTGAATCCAGATATCACAACGTAGGTCAATAATGGAGAGGTACTGTTAGACTATTAGAATTCCTAACAGGACATGGTTGCTTAGACTGCTGTCTAAGGAGCAGGCCTGAGTCCTAATCGTTTACTTGAGTATGGTAGATGGGTTGACCACCAGAGAGCAAGGAACCAACATGTTCCTTTTAGCTGGGTTGTACATACACATACAGTTTGCAAAGACCACAAGTTAGCCAATTTTGGCGAAACAAACAGGGTTATAAATCGCTTTAAAATACTTGGTGACCTTGTTTTTTTTTTTTATATCGAAACAGCCGCGCAGGCAGAAGCCTAAATGCCGGAACACCGCGGCTGCTATGATGATCCCAAAGAAATTTTGTTAATACGATTTTTGAACTGCCTAAGGTTAGTAGAACTGGGAAAAGCTTCCTCCCGTAGATTATTCCACAATCTAGACACCCTCGGGACAAAGGAGCGGTCGTATCGGCCAGTTCTGGATGTACGAAGTTTGACACGGTTAGGATGGGACGCCGAAGTCAGGCGGGTCTGTCTGGCAGGCACATCGCGTCGGTATCATGGAAGAGAGCTCTGAGGAGCAACGCCCGTTGGTGTAGCGATAGAAAAGAGCTAGATCGCCGACGGCCCGCTGGTGCGAAAGAGTCCCGAGACTGTCTGTTAGAGAAGAGTCGTCGATCAGTCGGACCGCCCTCCTCTGGACAGCATCGAGCATGGACAATGTAGTCGGGGCGGCAGCACCCCAAATGTGTGAGCAATACTCGAGGCTAGGCCTTATCTGGGCCTTGTATAGAGTGAGAATGTCATGCGGAGAAAAGTACTTCTTAGCCCTAAACAAATAGCCTAGCTTTTTCCCAGCAGCTGCAGCTATTGAAGAGATGTGTTCGTGCCAGATCAGGTCCTCGATGATCTGGACTCCGACCAGCCGAAATGAATGGCTCTTTGGTAGAACTCGACCGTCCATCGAAACTGTATGAGCGCTAGGACGCTTTTTGTTCGTCAAAGTACAGTTCTTTAGGTTCTTTAGGGACAGATACCTTCGTTACATGTTAAAGGTATCAATCCTCCCAAACAAATTAAAAAGTATTACACGTGAGAAGACATTTTAGTGAAACAATCTTGATGTATATATACATATATGTATATATATATATATATATATATATATATATATATATCTAAATATTATATGTGTGTATGGGTGTATATATGTATCCTGTATGTGTCTATGTATATTTATATTTGGGCATCCGTGTAGATACTGTATATAGTTGAGGTGTA